GGCATGCATGCAGACTTCACTAGTTCAATGCATAGATAGTTTTTCTCCATTGGAGATGCTCAAGGGGACTACAACACAAGGCTGGTCCTGTGTCTCTCTCCTCCAGCTTCTCCCAGCTGTCTGAATGAACCTTTTTGGAAATGTAACAATACAGAAAGCCAGTTAATTTTGGTTTTTGTTCCCGTGTCTTCAGCAACTCATTTGATTATTTCCAGAGGCTAAAGGAGAAAATTTTCTTTGCCCATATGTAAGGTTTTAAAATACGTTTTCTTTTTTGCTTACCTGGCACAGATCCATAGAAGAAAGGCAGTCTAATTACATTTCCAGCACAGTGGTTCTTTGAAGTATGAACTAATTAGGAATGGGCATTGCAAAAGTTTAGACCAGCACTCAGAAAAAGAATGCATCATGTAACCATCACTAATTCATTAGGATAACCAAAGCTTATTTCCTTTGAGTAAAGATTTGCACATTCTCACCTACAGCACTGTACTATATATAATACTTCTTTGTAGCTCCTCTGAAAGCACAACTCTGTTTAAAAGTAAATTAGCCAGCCAAATTGAAAGGCTAATTGCCTTGAGCTTCAAGTACAAAGGATATCCACACTTAGATTTCTTTACCAGCTGCAAGAGGCTGAGGGAGATGTGTTTTCAGAAATCATAACAGGATATCTCATTACACTTCAGAATTTTAATGTGGTGTCATAAATCACTAACTTATTCTTGCTCCAGTATTGTTTGCAGAATCCATTGAGATAGATCAGTTCTGTGTACTGGGGAGGAAACGTGATGGAGGGACAATCCTGTTTAGTCTGGTAACAGTTTATGTCAAATATCTGAAAAGGTCTTATACTTTACATTGCTTCCTCTTATGATTTTGATCAGAAGAAAAATTAGTGTATCTGGTTTGATTCATAACTTGTTTTTGCAAGAGAAAGACTGATGGGGCACACAATCTCTTTACAGACTTAACATTTCTCTGGATCATTTCAGCTGGATATATGGATGCTCTTCTGTGTTTCCTGCTTTGTTTTTCTTGTTTTCCCATTCTCCCCTTTCAATTTTTAATTGAGTCTAATCCTCACTGAGTAAATACAGTGACAACCTTTGCAATGTGTATGTCCAGTGTCATTCACAGAATCACGTCCTTTTTGTATAGATAATTTTAGTTTGTGGATATTGTTATGTGTCAGCTGCTGCTAAGTCTTGGCTTACACTGTGCTGTATTAAGGTTATATACAACTAGGAGCTTGCAGGATTGATCTAATGTATTTTCTCCATATGATAATTCCCAACACTTCTGCCTTTTAATGAATTCTTCTTCTTACTCTTAAACCAACTTCTAAATACTTCACAAACCTACCTATAACAATAACTCTAAATTAATTTTTGGTTTCACAGAATGTAATGGTTGTGTATCTTCTCTTTATTCTCAGCTCACTGACTGTAGTCTCAAGTAGCTGCTTCTGTTACGTGGTAATGTTATTGAGCTATGTGTAAACCTGAGGAATGAAATGGCTCTGTTTCATATTTGACTCCTGGTGGGTGAGAACAAGTACCACCCAGAACTCTTCAAAACCTATCTGCAGGAATAGGCTCTTCCTGAAAGAAAAAAAAAAACGCTTGTCGGATGCGTGCTGGCATAAATTTGAGTGATTAAAAAGTTTAGAGAATAAGAACAAAGAAGTTGGTTTGGATTGTGGGGTTTTTTTCTATTACAAATTAATGTGTATGTACATGTTTCTTTCATAAAGGTTTAAAGCATTCAGATAGATAGCCTTCTAAAGAAAGGTTAGCTTGTATAAGATAAACCTCATTCATGGTGACATTCTGCACTGACTCAATGCAGAATTGTACTTGTTCTGGATGTTCTAGAACCAGGACATTTCAAAGATGTGTTTTTCCAACCTGAACTTTAAAGAAGAAAGCAAGGAGATGAAATTTTGAAAACAATGGAAATTTTCCTTGCGTGTAATAACCGTTTTAGTTTTTGAACAAATACATACACTGCAAGATGTGCTCATTTATGGTAAAATCTGTATTACTGTGTGAAAAATGGCCATATTTTAAAATTTCAGTGCACATTTGCCACCAACATTTTCTTTTTTAAAACCCTAGAAGAGACTAAACAAAGCTTTTCAAACACAAATGATTTGCTTTACCAAATGTTCAGATCTCCAAATCCCAGGAGGGTGAGGGCTGGGATTTCTGTAAGGAACAAGCAGATTTCTGAGGCTTGACATGGTCTTGTCTCTGGCTGCATATACAGGTTCTCTCCAGGGTTGGACTGGTCAGTATGCTGCTGCAAGCCCTCCTATGCTCAATGTAGGCATTTTCTCAGAAGTGATTTGCATCTGCTGCTCCCATCAGTTGTTGGGAGGTCATGGCTGCTTACAATCAGGCCACTTTTTAATTTAGATGCAGAGCTTAAGGCAACAAAGGTTGTTTTAAAATTTCAGCTTGTGGTTTTTAATTCTTAAATTAGTAGCAAGAGATTGCTTCAAGGACTCATTTGTCCTGTGTATGCAACTTTGTATTAAAAGTGAATTTATGTTTTTGGTTTTTTTTTCGTTAAAACAAGAGTGTACCTTGGCAGTGATTTCTTTTTATTTGTTTGAAGGTTAATTTTCATTCTGTACTGGCAGCTGGGATGCCTAAGGGTGCAGGTGCAGCATGAGACTCCTTGCTGTGCTCAATTGTTCTTTCTGGGTGCGTCCATATTTATAAATACTTTTGGTGATGTCAGGACTGCACTTTTGAGGCAAATGTTCTGATTTTCCCCACGTACCCTGCTTTGTGCCATAATTGAGCAGTCTCAGACTTCACCAAGGTTTTGTTCCTTTGGAGGAAAGGAAGCAGAGACATGCAGCCCAGGAGTTTGTGTCTTGTGCTGCAGTGCTAATGCAGTACCAGCCCAGTGCTTTCCAAAATAGCCCTCCTTGGGAAGGCTTTGGTACTCTTACAGGCAGCTCCATCAGTCTTCCTTCTGCTCCATGCACCTTCCTAAGGCAGATGTTTGCCTCTGCCAATTTTAAAGGTATCCAAACCAACTGAACTTCATGAAGATTTTACAGATGATTGAAATAATTGCTGAATGATATTTTGGTTTATTTTCTGTCTGCAACCAAACGTATGAGATTTCTGACAGGCCAGGAGTTTTAAACTGTAACATATTTTATTCTGCAATGGTTTGTATGTACAACTTGTGAAAGAATTTTTGTTTCAGAACATTTTACTTCAGAGAACAAAAGCTGCAACAGTGATGTTGAAATAAAAAATTATGGAAAACAAAGGGACTAGGGGAGGTTATTTATTGTTTGAAATACTTTGACAAATAACAAATACGGGAGCTCTAAGGAGATTAAATTTTCAGATGAAAATGTTATCTTAGCCCAGCTGAGTCAAGGATCTTGGTTGCTTGCCTTGAAATATGAGACTTACACTTAAATGATTTAGTGTGACAGTCTCTAGCCCAGGTTTTCAGGATCACCAGTGTTTTGTTTTTAAATTAATTAGGTACCTGTGTGCTATGACTATTTTTAATAATCAGTTTTATTTTTATTTGATGTGAGTTATACCTTTATGTATCGTTAATATTGTTTGTTTGATAACAGAACTGTCATCTATAAGAAACAAAGACATGAAGTCTATTTACCATACTTGATCAGTGAGTTGTACTTGAGAAGGAATCTGTGCCAGCACTAAAATGTTAAGCATGGGTTATGAATGTGATGAAATACTCTATCCTACCGTATAAATGACTGTTTCTGAAGCTTTTTCTGTGTACACCCCTGTGCCAGAGAACAGAACAGACTTTCTCTTGGTAATAAACTTAACTGGATTATGAGAGGGGTACTCTAGTGTTACTTGTGAATGCTGCACTCTTCTGGGGAGGATTACTGCCACTTTTGGTTTTAATGTCTTTCAGTGCTCCTGCCTAACAGAGTGGTAGGTGTACACAAAATTCTGTGCTGCTCTGGTTCCCAGGCTGGAAAAGAGACCTTGTGTTTGAAGTCTTTTGCTTTTGAAACCTCAGCACAGGTGCAGTTTTGCCTGGAAAGAGCTGCTTTTGTGCACTGCTCTCTGAGCCAGCCTTTGGCCATCCAGAGTATTTGGGTGGTGGGGGATAAGAATAAACAACAATTTGTGTAGCTAAGAAAACAGAATTATTTTCTATATGAGTTACCTTAGACCCCCCCCATTTCTTCTCTGCTGGTTTAGCACCATAACTTAAATGAAATATTGGCTTTTCCCCTATATAGATATAAAACTGTACTTTGTGCAGCCTGATGAAGTTTTTAATTCTCTAGGGCAAGTTAATATTTCAGGCTCTTGGCTTGTTGTTCAGGGACTGTCATTTACCATGATTTTGTGTAGTTTGCACAAAACTGATGTTTAGCTGACTTTCCTCTGTACAGTAGTTTGAGTTGTGAAGGTACTGATGGGCTAATACAGATAACATACAATCTTTGTATGAAGCTGAAGATTTGGAAGTATGTGAAAGTGGAAAGGTTTCATTAGTCTCTTTTGAGCAGTCTGCTGTCTTCCAGTGTTTCCATAGCATTTTTTGTTGGCATCCTTTTTGTTGAATAATTGTATTTGAAGCAGTGGGCACTGCTATAGTCACTGGAAAATGAAAAGTTCTGGAAACACTAAAAGTGTTTAGTAAAGGCAGAGGAAATGTATTTGAAAATAATCTTAACCTTTGCTACAGATGCAATAATAAACCTGCTTTAAAATAGAGAGCTTGCTTAACAAAATAATGAGTTGTTGCAAGTTGCTGTGCACAGACTATGATACATTGCCAGCTTAGTATTTCTGAGCTCTGTGGTGTGGCACAAACGCTTTTATTTCTATATTAAGCAATGCCTCTGCCGTTTGGAACCTTATTTGTTAGAACTGGTTGCTGGGTCATGCATTACAGCATTTCAAAAAAGAAAATGCAGTTTTAATAGTAAGGTTGCTCTCTAGTAACAATTTTGTCTCTTTTCTTTGTAGGTATGAAGCGTCCATTAAGTCCTGACCACATCGTTGAAGATGGGATTATGAATCAACCAGCTGTTCTACGGGCCTTTGAAGAAAAAGGACTGAGGAATGACAGACAGGATTACCAATTAAGCAAAGAAAAAAAGAAGATACTGTTTTCCTTCTGTGAAGTGTGCAATATACAGCTGAACTCTGCAGCCCAAGCTCAAGTTCATTACAACGGGAAGTCTCACTTGAAAAGAGTGAAGCAGCTAAACAATGGAAAACTCCCTACAAGTACAGCTCCTGGCACTTTGTTTGCAAGTACAAGCACAGGTATGTAATTGAGATGTTGGATTTTGGTCAAGAATTCTGAGGAAGCTTTTAAGCCCTACCTTCCCCACTCAACCATTAAACTTAATATATAGGTTAATACTAGTAGTTAATAATATTTTGCCATGTTCAGAATTATTGGTGTATTTCTTTTCCTGTGAAGCCAGGCAGTATTGAGGCAATATTCAATTTATTCCAGGCAATATTTCATTATATGTTGGACCTTGAGATACGGTCTATTTAAAAGCAACTCTTGTGGATCCAAACACTTACACATTTTGCCATCTGCTTTTGTTTCCAAAAGAAAGTTCTGGAGGGATGCTACATGCACAGGAGAAACTTTTAAATGAAATCTAGTAGTGGAAGGATGGAGGAGGAGGGCTGGAATTTACAGGCCTGGCCCTTTCATTCTTTCTGCTTTCAGCCCTCTGGGTTTTAACCATTCATCCATAGAACCTGTTTAGGTTGGAAAGGACTTCTAAGCAAGAAGAATTTCAAAGTAAGACTTTTTACTTACTAGGAAAAACAAAAGTCTTGGGCAAAACGTATCTAGCATGCATGATGTAAAGATACAAAGGACATACTATGCCCTTCTGTTTTTTGGGGGGAGTTTGTTTCTTTTTATTTTAGTGTTAGACTCAGTTCATAGCTACTTGAGAAAAACCTAACAGATCTCGAATCTTCATACAAGAAGCTTTCCTAATTGTAGTATTTGTTTTTATTTGCTACATTAAGACATTGGCTTTGGTTTCTTTTATTTTGTTTTGTATAGAAACAGGCAAGCTGCATTGAAAGGTTTTGCATTTTCTTTCTTCTGGTTTTGTTTCTTGTTAACTGAATTTTAGTTGTTTTGAAGTCTTTGGTACTGTTCTGTTTGATTTAGAACTAAGCAGTGTGAGAGTATCACTTGTGTAAGGCCTGTGATTCAAAAGATGAAATTCCTATTGAATGACATCTAAATTCGTTAATTGCAAGCATTTTTAAAATAACTGAATATCTGTGAGACATTATGATTGATTTAAGATTCCTCTGTGTGGACCTACAATGCAAACGTATGAAACCACTTTCTATTTTTGTTGCTTTTTGTTATCTGAACCCCTTGATCTGATGCCTTTGCTGTCATTCCTGGGGATCACAGCTGATGCTCTGGCACCATCACTCAAAGAATGCTCCGATGCTCAGAATACAATTATGTTTGCTGGAGCACATGCTTTGGAGTTACTGCATAGCTTGGGAGTCAAAGTTCATGTTTCTTTGTTCACCGATCTCTATATTAGACTATTAGTTGTGTACTAGTTACGCTGGTCTATCTGGTGCATGTTGAAATAAGCATTCTTTTTTCTTGGCTGAGGGATATTGTGTTCATAGCATTTAAAAGAAAGAAACGCCTTACAATAGACAATTTATTACTACTGTGATGACATAAACAATTCAATATACTCCACAGAACCAGTGGGAGAACAAGACTTACTGAGATGTAGTTCTCAAAGAACATTTTCCAAAAATAGCTAGAAATTAATTTTCTTATAAATTGACATTATCCAGGCTCAGTTTTAATCCATGTCCTCTGGAGTGTTATTACCTCTTATAATGGAGGTCTTCCTTTCCTCTTTCTTCAGCTAACATTGTAAACAGAGCTTATTGTGCAGATGGTAAGAGAGCAATTATATTAATCTCACCTCACCAGTGAATAGACTTTATTCCACATGCAAAGGAAGCAAATAGCCCTCTCATACTTCACTGTTACAGCTGCACCTTTCTAACCAAGCACCTAGTGAACAGTTCAGCACACCTTAGAATACTTCCTGCAAAAGTTCCATCCAGTGTCAGCTTGGAGTTTTCCTCTGTGTTCAAAAGATAAATGTGAAATCAGTAATATTCCCACTGGAAAATGAGGTGACTGTAAAATACACGTGACTGTAAATTTTCAGTTCAGAAACCAGAATTACAGACCTGCCAGAGCTGTCTTGATTCTTTGTGACAGAATTGATGGATCACTGACTCCAGCTCTCCCTGACACTTGGTGGACTTGGTTATAAATAGAGATGAGACATATTTTCATATTCATTCTCTTTTGTGGTCCTCTCTGAGACAGGTGGCCCTCAGTTGTTAGCAAATGTCCTTTTAATTTTTGACTTCTACTGTGGTTTACGGCTATAAGCTCAAATTTGTTGCTCTTAACTTGCTGGTAATGATCCTTGTTTTACTGCTGTTGGAATGTTTAAGATTTGATACCTGGGATTCCAGGTCCTGGCAAGAATACCTTTAATTGTATAGATGAAGAGCTTTTATACATTTAAAGTCTAAATATAATTTTAGAGATGAGTTTAATGTTACTTCTTTGTATTTAGAGTAAGGGTGCAATTGTCATAGGATTTAAAATATATTTAGCAACAAATTTTTCTAAGAAGTTTCCTCTATTTCTAGTTAATATTGTCTTGCCAGTTATTGATATATACAAGTTCTTTTGCTGTTATACCTCTACCTGCAATTTAAATTCCTTCCTAGCAAGTAAACTAAAATAGAAAATAAATATTTAAGAGCTGTTTTTATTTATATTGTCACAATCAAGAAATGAATGGGTTACATTAGGTGACTTTGGTGATTTCATCCACCCATTGAACTCCTTTTATTTACATTGGTGTTGAAAGCTGGGAAAAAGGAGTATTCTACTTGGAAAATACATTGCACGTGGGGAGTCTTCCCTATGGCCTATGTTAGTGCTTTTTTATTACCAGCCATGCCCACGAGGTCTATTAGTGCAGTTCCAGTGCTGCCCCTCCCGGGGCCATCCCGACCCTTGTGCCAGGCATACAGACGTACAGACACACTCGTACAGACAGCCTGCTGTCAGCAGGACGTAAATGAACTCTCATGAAAGTAAGAAAGTGCGTGTTTGCTTCGCAGCTTAAGTTGGAAATGATTTCATGTACTTCCTACGAAGAAAACGGAAAATAAAGGGTGGTTTCCTGCAGCCTTGGGGAGATGTATTTGGAGTGAGCCTGTAGAAAGCTTCCCAGTGAGCGGGCCTTGCTGGAGCCTGCAGCAGATCCCAGCTGTTCTGGGTACCTGGAATCCGCCTGCACGGGCGGAGCGCCCGCTGCTCACGGGGCCCGACCAGAAGTGAGAGCAGGGCAGGAGCTTGGCTTCAAGCGTGCTCGCCTCCTCTGCGCTGCCAGCGAGCTAAGGCGTATTGCCTGCCTGATTTGTGTTTGCTGGGCCGGGCGGGGGCGATGCTGGGCGGCGGGAGCCGGGCTGCTCGGCTGCCATCCCACGCGATGGCGCTGCAGCCCGGGCCGTGCCGAGCCCAGCCGAGCCGCGCGGGCAGCATCCCGGCCCGCGGGAGAATGCGGGCTGCTCCCAGCGCCGGCGGGGGCATTCCCGGCACGCTGCCTTCTGTCCCTCCCGCTGCTTCCTCGGAGGTGACAGCGGCTTTGCTCCAGGAATTCTCACTGCTTCCTCCATGGGGTGGTATCTGCTGGTGAGTCTCCTGGTTCTCTCTCCTTTCCCCCATGTTAACGTGGGAACAGCTGGTGTAGTTTTAAGGAAGTGTACTAGAAATGCCTGTCGAAGTCCACATTTTACAGATCTCTGGAAACGTGTAGGGAAGTTTCGTTTTTGTTACAGAAGATGTCCAGATTTATAAGTGGGCAAAGAAGAATCCCTTTTTCCTGAGTCCTAGGCTGTTTTAAAGAGCACAAGTGTTCTAGGGCACTCATGAATGCCCATGTGATCTTCCTGCAGGTCTGGCTGGAGGTGTGATTGGCATGTCAGGATTCAGTGTATCCTGGCAGCAGCTCTGCCTTCTTGTTCTTGAAATCTCTGACCTTTTGTGACAGTTTTGGAGATGCTGTAGGACCCTATACCATGACTCTTTGTAAGGAGCAGTGCTGCAAGTTGTTGTGTTAACACTGCAATACTGAGGAAATAATCACAGGTTGATTTCCTGAGGCGTTATAAACACACAGATTTGTGATCTGGTTGGCAGCAATGACAGCCAGGGATTTGTTAATTGAGCAAAATAAATACGTAAATTACTAGACTTCTGTTGCGTTTGACACTTAAATCAGGTCACAAAAAGGGCCTAGTAGTGGTAGTGGAAGGGTGAAGGTAAAGCAGCAGTTTTGGGCATGGGAGTAGAACAGGGGAGTAGGGACAAGGCAGGGCTTCTTCCACTTTTGGCAACAGAGATGAGAGCTTCTTTGTCTCTTTGTGCAGTGCCATATAAATTTGTAAGTCTAGTCAACCTATCAAGTTAATGGAGGCAGGGAGGCTTACAATTAAAGAGCTCAGATTATTCTTGATAGGATCCATGGACTATGATCCATATTAGTTTTCAAAAAAAAAAATAGAGATAGAAAGTGTGAATAGTATCTTCAGCCAAAAAATTAAAGAGACTATTGATAGACATGGAGAAATTATGCTGAAAATATTCCAGATAGCCTTAGATCAGACCAGTGATGGTTGGTTACAACAGAATGAATCTGCAGTACACTGCTCTCATTTCAGTGGAGTTTTTCCTTGGTTTTTGTTAGAAGAATCTAAACCTAAATGCAGGTTTTTGTATGTAGGGTTTAATCTTAATACGGGTCAAGACTGGCTTTCTGACATGTACCTTAGTTGCCATCTGAGACTGCTTTGTGCCAACATAGTGAAGTACAGAACTTTTGCTTACTTCAAGCCTCTTCATCTAGGTCCTCAATTCCTTCTCAAGGTTTGTCTTTCATTAATCTAAAAAAAGACAAGGATAATCTGATTTTTATTGCAGAAGATCTTAAAGAATTATTCTAGCAAGTACTCAGAGGAATGCAAAGCAGCAACTAAAAGTATCTTTAAAAAGTTTGTGACCTGAGTCCTATTAAATGATTGCATGCATGGCTATGGAATTAGTACACAAGTCTGTAGAGAGCACTGTGAGCTTACTCTGTGAGCTTACTCTTTTTTTTGTGTTGGGCCAAAACCTTTTTTAGACTAGTAGGTGAGCACTTGTTCTGCCTTCCACA